ACACAGTTTTCTTAAAGTCTAACACCTAATTCCCATGTGATGTGCATGCTCTCACTTTCTTTTTAGCAATTGGAGACACTGAGGCATCTATGTAACTTAGCAGTCACAAAACTGATAAAACTAGCTTCCTAACTCACATCTGCCTGACTCCATTCTGTCCCAGAGAGTCTGAGGTTTGTTGGAGTCCACCATAACAGGCAAACTAGGAATATCCCAGCTTCAGAAAAACCAGCCACATGGACAACTCTGTTCTGAGTCTTGATATTCACTCAAGAGCTGAGGAGTGGTTTTACCTCCAACTTAACTGTAAAGAAAGAGAGAAGACAATTTTGCCTGATTAAAAGATACAATACAGGCAGTGGAGGCACATACCTTTAATCCCAGAATTTAGGAGGCAGAGGCAGGCAGATTTCTGAGTTTGAGGCCAGCCTGGTCTACAGAGTGAGTTCCAGGAAAGCCAGGGCTACACAGAGAAACCGTGTCAAAAAAAAAAAAAAAAAAACATATGGTGGTAAACCCGTCCAGTTCTGATCACATCAAATTTCCTTGCTACTCTAAGGAATAGAAAGATAAAAACCAGAGCCTGGGGCTGGGTTAGGGCGTTTCCCTCTGAATCTGTCACTGTAAATAAGGGTTTGTTGGCACACAGCCATGTCCAATCACTTCCATGTCTTGTGTAGTATGTTCCCAGCACTTGGTAGAGTTGAGTAGCTGAGACGAAGCTACTCAGGCCTTACTCTGTAGCAGTGATACCTGATCAGGCCTACCTTATAACACTCATGAAAGCTCATATTCGACAGCCCAAGTCCAGAGTTTCTCACTCAGTAGGTCTGAGATGGAGTCCAACAGCTGGCATATCTAACAACTTCCCCGGAATGATAGGCACCCCCCAAGACGACCAGCAATCAACGCTTCCTCCATGTATGTCGTTACCCACGTGCGGAACACTCTCCTGAGTGAGGGCTGCTATCTGCTTCTAACACCTACCTGTGTCAGAAGCGGTGGAGGTCAACTCCAGGTGTCACAAAGCGCTGCGCTGCTCCTTCCCTCCCTGCTCTCATCATTTCCCAAGACAGCGGCTGCTGCCATGTCCTAAGAGAACTCCCTACGAAGAGGCTGGCGTGACAACGGCCGAGACTCAGCTCACACGGGTGGACTTGGAAGTGGATCCTGGATTGGCACTGTACCCCCACACCAAGTCAAGCCTTCGCGTGGGACCGTAATCCTGCAGACAGCTTGACTACAACCTCACAAGGCATCTTGAGCCTGAAGTTTCCAGATGGGCCACATCCAGATTTTTATGAGCTAAGAAATACTTGCTGTTCTAAGTCACGAGATTTGAAGAGGATTTCTGATTAGCAACATTAGAAACTCTACTGGCTGGAGTGAGGTCAGTAAAACTATGCTCTGAAAACACCGACTCTGGGAGCTGGAGAGGTGGCTCAGTGGTAAAGAGGCTGCTCTTGGAGAGGCCTGGTCTGGAGTCCCACCATCCATTCGGCAGCTCACCACCCTCTGTAATTCCAGTTTCAGGGGACCCAATGCCCTCCTCTGGCAGGCACTGCATGCATGTGTTTCACAGATATATATGAAGGCAAAACGACCATGTGTTTAAAATAAAAAATAAATCTTTAAAGAAGAAAATACTGGCTACTGAAACAGCGTCTATGGTTTTCAGAGATAGTTAGGCAGGATAACACTGGAGTTTTGTTTGTTTGTTTGTTTGTTTATATCTGTGTGTTCTAGAATGCTCTAAGAGTATCCCTCTGAACTCCTTTTATTATCTTCCTGGCAGAAATGCATTGAGCACATGGGCCCAGTCAGTAAAAGAACCCTACCTTTTCTCGAAGCTTCTGTCAAGTGTCACGACACTGGAGTTCCGATTTTAAAAGACAGGCACCACACATGCCAAGCCCTCGTGTCTCTTCCTTGCTCCATTCTGCTAGGCATCAGGACCTGGAACTTTCAGAGTTAGCATCAGGAAGATGCTATTTGTACCTCTGCATGAACCCGCAAGGACAGATAGCTTCACCTGTCTTGTTCCTAGAGCAGTGACTGACAAGCAGAAGGTGCCAGGTGATAGTCATAGAACTTGAGTTCGACGGAAGACCCGCCCCAGAGTGGCCTCCTATAGGCCAGAATAGGAGTTCAACACAAGACCCGCTGCTAGAGAGACTTCCTGTGGGCCAAAAACAGGGACCTGCCTCCCTTTCCTTTTTCCTAGCTCCTGCAGGCCAGGAAGGACCCCTTAGCACTGTGGAGAGGTGGAGTAAGAGTGACCTTCTTTTGGCCTACCCTGTGCCTCGGTAAGCTTCAGGAGAGGGACTATCTGTACTGCTGCGAAGAAACAGACACATGGAGAGTCTGAGTCATCTCTGTATAAACTCCAAAGGCCTCCAGTGTGGACTATTTTGAATCAAGACATACCAGGGGACTAGAGACTAGTGGGGCTCTTTGGTGACTGAGACTAAAGTGTCTGCTTCCAGGATCCCCACAATACAATATGGTATGTTTTGTACATACAGCAACTGACCTCAGGCCTCATCCTTCAGCTGCAGGGGACAATAAACTGCGTTTGTTTAACAGACTCAGTGGAAGAATGCCCTGGCGTACTGCCTGACACCCAGTAAAAACTTAATGAATATTTATTGAATGAATAAGCAAGATCTTAAGCACAGCAATATATTTCTTGCAGCAAGTAAAAAAAAAAAGTAAAAATCTTACTTGTGAATCCCCACCCCACCCTCATCACTTCATAACCCCACAAAACAAAGCAGCGTAAAGAAAAGCATAGAAAGGTTATCTTTGAACTCTGTGACTTGAATCAAAACTTTTAACCTGTCTGGGCTAAAGCGCTTCACAGAGCATTGTCCCCAAGCGTATTGACAGAGCTTGCCCGCAGAAGGAGTGCCTACCAGCTTTTGCTGGAGCAGGCACAGCTGGAAAGGGCCATCACTGAAATCGTGGAGGCGACTGTGGTTGACACTCCAGCTTTCGGCGGGGAGACTAGGCACCCATTTGAACCTAGCATGATCTTCATCAGAGCTGGTTCGTAAAAGTGTGGACGAGAGGTTGAAGATCAGAGCGTTCTGGAGGAAATCTGCACCTTTGGCGTCATCACTGCTCACAGCGGCAGAAACACAGTGGACTTTGAAAGCAATGGAGGCAGCAGGCAGCAAGGATTCTACCCCATGGCGTCTCCACCTCTGGGTACCTGGGGCGAGGCTTCCAAGATAGGGAAGGGCAGAGGTCAGCCAGCCATCTGGCCTCTGACTTTGTCTGTCCAGTCATGCAGAGAATAAAAACTCATTGACAAGAGGATAGGCAGGCCTGGCGCTGGAGGGGGGGACTATTGGCGAACATACTGGGGCTGGAAAGACGACTGAGTCCACAATCCCGAGCTCTTACTGCTCTTGCAAAGGTTCCCAGCACCCACGTCAAACAGCTCACAGCCACCTGTGAGGCCCAGGAGATCCCATACACTCTCTCAGCCTCCGTGAGCACCCATCACAGACACACCCATACACTTTAAGTTTATAAAATAAAAGAAAGAAACCATATTTTTGTGCAAGTACTCACTCCCAGCTTCTGCAGTGTGTGTGGCCAAGGCCTGGTTGAACAGGAGGCAGAGCCAAGGGATTGAGAGGGTGTTAATAATAGACAGCACAAGAGGAAATAATTGTTTCTGAAGTTTGCTCAGGAAATCGTTTATCATGGGTCATCTCGGGGACTTAGTAACATGACTGTCACAGTGACTTCCTCCCCCTGGAGGACAGAGCTTCCAGAAGACACGCTGGGAAAATCCCTCCTTGTTTTTAAAGGCAAATCACACACACACACACACAAATCAAATCACCCTCTATAATTTCTCAAGGCCAAACAAGACCAATACAGGTTTTTAAATGATTTTTTTGAGAGCGTGGGATTTAAATTTTTGTTTCCGTATTGAACCTTTACATCAAACTTAGAGGCCACAAGCCCCCTGCCTGACATATTGAAGCCCTCAGTCTTGAAAGCAGCCATTCCCAACTAAAGAATCCACATTAAGGAAGAGGGACTAACATTCTGGAATACAAAGCACTTGCTGTCTGATTGCTCTACACAAATACACATAGAGATGACTAGAATTCATCTTTCTGCTTTCTCTGAGCAATATTTTTTTAATGCAGCCATACAGGTGTGTCCATGCAATGTCAGAGCTCTGACTGGCAGCTTCTATGACTCAGCCTTTGCATTCTCATGACTCGTTGTGCTCGGACAACTCACAGGACAAGCAAGGAGACCTGGCGAATGTCATTTCACCGCCAGAGCTCTGTGCAGCAACGCTCAGCCAGTTGCTGCCAACCTTGCGCTCTCGCCCCTCAGTGGGAAACTCTAAGGTGCAGGGCCTGCATTATCTCCCAGGATGCCCCAGCAGAATGCCACCACAGTCACACACAGCTAACCTGTGATAACAGCCCTTCACTGCTTCGGTGTTCTCTTGGATTTCTCCAGGTGAATTACACTCAAAGCCTCATCCCAAGGTTGTTCCTGGGCGACCCAAACTGAGACACCTGCTCTCCTGGCAACCGGGGCCTACAGCGTGAGTCCACCGGGCTTAAATGTTACCATCCAAGCTAGTGGAGAAATCGAGACAGTTTAGAATGTGAACGAGGGCTACCAACAAGGTCCCTCCTGTGACCAGTGAGTGATGAAGTAGCATCGTCACAAGCCGCAGACTCTAATGGACAACGTGAAAATGGCAGTGACTTCTCACCAGGACACTCCTAGGGCATGATTTTGACTGAGATCCCTGGAGTGTGTCCCGATACTTCCTCTTTCTACTTCTATTATCCAGAAGTAGATAATTCTATCGTCACCAAGCAGTATTAATGGGAGTCAGTTTCTACAGGTAGTGTAGGAGAAACTGAGGACCAGCAAAGGCAAGAGACTCATGTTGAGCCAGCCATTGATTGGCTGGGTTGAATGTCCTGTATGTCCCCCTTTCTCCACTGGAAGTAAAAATTATGGAATGCTTCATGAATTTGAGTGTCATGCTTGTGCAGGGGCCATGCTAATCTTCTCAGTATTATTCCAATTTTAGTATATGTGCTGCCAAAGCGAGCACTAGGACGGCCTTTACAAGGGTGCCTTTGACTCTAAACAGAAGACGCAACTAAAAGATTCACAAAAATATAAATGTGATGGGTTTGCTGTCTTCGGAGAACAGGAAGTTCCAAGGCTATTGAGCAGATTTGGTTTGTGTTGAAATAGCTGATAACTATGTATCTGAGACTGGCCTCAAACTCATGATCCTCCTACCTTAGGCTCTTAAGTACTGGGATAACGAGCTAGTATATCCACACCTGGCTTGGCAAGGTGTTTTGCGAATGTTTCTGAAGCCTAAGAACGTTCATTATTCTGGTTTTTCCATCTTCAATGCATCTTCTTTGGTAGAGCAGCAGCATGTTATATGACAGCCAGCAAGGACGCAGAAATGCAGATTTTTTTTTTTTCCCTCAAGAGACTGTCTGCTCAAGGAAGAGAGCCTTGCCTGTCTCACTGAGGTGTACTGGCCACTGTCAGACATAAACCAAACCTAAACCTGCACCGAGGAATCCACACACATGATTGAATTAGACCAAGGCAACAAGTACCCCTCGAACCAGGATACACACGGGTGGAGAGCCAACAGGGAAATCAGGGCTCTCCCTTGGGTAGGTAGCATGGACTGGCTGCTGAGGAAGGAAAGAGCAAAGTCAACTGTTCTGGGGATACAGAAGATGCTGGGGGTGCAATTTATAAGTGAAATAATAAATTCATTGTAGTGTGCTCTTCTTTGTGCTAAAAAAAAAAAAGAAAAAAGAAAGAAAGAAAGAAAGAAAGAAAGAAAAGAAACTCTTTCTTTGGTTTACACCAATACTGTGGTCTGAATAGGTTTGGCCCCACAGACTCGTGAGTTTGAATGCTTGGCCCATGGGAGCTGCTCTAGAAGGAGGTGTGGCCTTGCTGGAGGAAGTGTGTCACTGCTGGGGCGGGCTTTGGGATAGCCTATGCTCAAGCTACCTCAGTGTGGAATTAGTGTCTCTCCTGCTGCCTGTGGATCAAGATGTAGAACTCCCAGCACCGTGCCTGCCTGCATGCTGCCATGCTTCCCGACAGGATGATAATGGACTAAGCCTCTGAACTGTAAGCCAGCCTCAGCTAAATGTTCCTTGTAAGAGTTGCCGTGGTCTTGGTGTCTCTTCACAGCAATTAAACCCTAAGACAAGTACAGAGGAAAAGGTTGTGAAAGGGAAAGTGGCTGTGGGGCTGGGAGAATAAATGGAAGAAGAAAGAAGGAAAGGGGGTGGAACAAGACACCAGCTTCATGAATATCACAGTTCTGCCTGAGCCTGCTCCCAGCTGGGCTTCAAAGAATGGATTTTACTTTCATTTGTCTTCCTGAATTCCAAATTTCCACTTGTACCAGAAGACTTCTAAGTGGCCAGTCAGAAAGCATCCTGCTTGAGTCTCTCTGCCACTGAAGCCCCCTGAGACTCTAGGCTGCAGAGAGAGGGCTTGTCTAACTGGCGTGGTCTGCCCTGATTTAGGCATCCTTCAGGAAAAGAGCAGGACAGAAGTGGCCTCTCCAGACCCACCAGGTTCTCGCCTGTTCTGGTTCGATTTGTGTCAACTTCACACAAGCCAAAGCTATGGGAGAAGGGACCTTCAACGGAGGCAATGCCTCCATCAGATTGCCAGTAGGCCAGTCTAACAGACATCTTGATTAATGATCGAAGTCAGAGGGCACGACTCCCTGTGGGTGGACCAACCCTGGACAAGCGGTACTGGGTGCTGGAAGAAGGAGGTTGAGGGGGCTGTGGAGAGTAGGCCCGTAGGCAGCATTCCTCCGCAGCCTCTGCTCCAGTTCCTGTCCTGACTGCTCTTCAAGACTGTGAAATACAAGCTGAAACAAACCCTTCCTCCCCAACTTGCTTTCGGTCATAGTGTTTACCACAGCAACGGAAGGCAAGTTAAAGCATGTCCCAAATGTTAACCCTGATCCTTAATGAACATTTCTGTGTGCTCTAATCTCATGCTGTTCCCTCATCATATCCCTATAGCTATACCATGTCTCTATACCATAGCCTGTGAATAGTAGGCAAAACCCTCTAGATTTGTGTATGTTCTATAATGCTCACACAGTAGAACACTTCTCAGAATGTGCCTCCATTATTATACCATACTTGGCTGTGGCTGGCCTAGTGACCTAGTACCCCATGAGACCTCTCTGTAGCTACCCAGAGGACCCCTGAGGGACCTTTCTAGATACCAGGACTGGGAAGTCACAAGCATCCCTGAACTCCAACTCATCATGACCCAGAAGAGATTACCCCAGGTAATCCTCTCCTCTCCTCTCCTCTCCTCTCCTCTCCTCTCCTCTCCCCCC